TAGCTGGTTGTTAAAGAATGGGTCAGCAAGCTGGCCGCTACATCCTTAGCAACCGATGACTCATCTGCTATTTGATCACCTCGGGGGGGGGGGGGGGGGTTGGCGCTATAAACAAAAAAAACCTAAAATAAAAAAAAAAACCCAATATTTTCTCATGTCTGTTATGGAAAAATATCCAATAAACTCAAATTTCATCATAAATTTAGGCCAAAATGTATTTTGTTATATGTCTTTGGTAAAAAAAAAAATCCAAATAGGTGTATATTAATTGGTTTGTGTGAAAGTTATAGCGTCTACAAATAGCGGTATAAATGAAGGAATTTATGCCATTTTTTGCTGTATGGCACTGCGCTAGTTTAACTGACAATCGCTCAGTTGTGCAATACTGTACATAAATCAGATTTATGTCCTTTCTTCACACACTAACAGAGCTTTCTTTCGGAGGTATTTGATCACCTCTGGGTTATTTTTGGCGCTATAAACAAACCTTGTCTGCAGTCTCTGACCATCTACCTTATCATGTCTGAAGTCTCTGACCATCTCCCATAGTAGGTCCTCAGTCTCTGACCATCTCCTGTAGTATGCCTGCAGTCTCTGACCAGCTCCTGTAGTATGTCCGCAGTCTCTGCACATCTCCTGTAGTAGGTCCTCAGTCTCTGCCCATCTCCTGCAGAAGGTAAGCAGTCTCGGACCATCTCTTGTAGTAGGTAAGCAGTCTCTGACCATCTCCTGGAATATTCCTGCAGTCTCTGACCATTTCCTGTAATATGTTTGCAGTCTCTGACCATCATCCCTATCATGTCTGCAGTCCATGACCATCTCTTGTAGTATGGCTGCAGTCTCTGACCATCATCCCTATCATGTCTGCAGTCTCTGACCAACTTCCCTATCATGTCTGCAGTCTCTGACCATCTCCCGTAGTAGGTCCATTGTCTCTGACCATCTCCCGTAGCAGGTCCTCAGTCTCTGACCATATTCTGCAGTAGGTCCGCAGTCTCTAACCATCTCCAGCAGTAGGTCCGCAGTCTCTAACAATCTTTTGTAGTAAGTCCTCAGTCTGATTATCTCCTGTAGCAGGTCTTCAATCTCTGACCATCTCCTGTAGTAGGTCCTCAGTCTCTGACCATCTCCTATAGTAGGTCCTCACTGTCTGACCATCTCCTGTAGTAGGTCTTCACTCTCTGACCATCTCCTATAGTAGGGCCTCAGTCTCTGACCTTCTCATGTAGTAGGTCCTCAGTCTGTGACCATCTCCTGTAGTAGGTCCTCAGTCTCTAACAATCTCCTGTAGTAGGTCCGCAGTCTCTGACCATCTCCTGTAGTAGAGCCTCAGTCTCTGACCTTCTCCTATAGTAGGGCCTCAGTCTCTGACCATCTCCTGTCACATTTTCTAACCATCTCCTGTAGTATGTCTGCAGTCTCTGACCTTCTTCTGTAGTATGTATGCAGTTTCTGTACCTCAGTCTGTGACCATCTTCTGTAGTAGGTCAGCAAGCTCTAACCATCTCCTGTAGTAGGTCTGCAGTCTCTGACCATCTCCTCCTGTAGTAGCCTGCAGTCTCTGACCATCTCCTGTAGTATGTCTGCAATCTCTGACAATCATCCCTATCATGTCTGCAGTCTCTAACAATCTTCCCTATAATGTATGCAGTCTCTGACTATCTCTCTTGTAGTATGCCTGCAGTCACTGACCATCTCCTGTTGTATGTCTGCAGTCTCTGACCATCATCCCTATCATATCTGCAGTCTCTGACCATCTCCTGTAGTATTCCTGCAGTCCCTGACCATCTCCTGTAGTAGGTCTTCAGTCTCTGACCATCATCCCTATCATGTCTGCAGTCTCTGACCATCATCCCTATCATGTCTACAGTATAATCTCTGACCATCTTCCCTATCATGTCTGCAGTCTCTGACCATCTCCCTTAGCAGGTCCTCAGTCTCTTACCATCTCCTGCAGTAGGTCTGTAGTCTCTAACCATCTCCTGCAGTAGGTCCGCAGTCTCTAACCAACTTCTTTAGTAAGTCCTCAGTCTGATCATCTCCTGTAGTAGATCTTAAGTCTCTGACCATCTACTGTAGTAGTTCTTCACTCTCTGACCATCTCCTGTAGTAGATCCTCACTCTCTGACCATCTCCTGTAGTAGGTCCTCAGTCTCTGCCCATCTCCTGTAGTAGGGCCTTAGTCTCTGACCTCTCCTGTAGTATGCCTGCAGTCTCTGACCATCATCCCTATCATGTCTGCAATCTGTGATTATCTCCTGTAGTATGCCTGCAGTCTCTGACCATCTCCTGTAGTATGTCTGCAGTCTCTTAACCATCTCCTGTAGTAAATCCTCAGTCTCTGACCATCTCCTGTAGTAGCTCCTTAGTTTTTGACCATCTCCTGTAGTAAGTAAGCAGTTTCTTACCATCTCCTGTAGTAGGTAAAAAGGCGCTGATCATCTCCTGTAGTAGGTAAGCAGTCTCTGATCCATCTCCTGTAGTATGTCTACAGTTTCTGTCCCTCTCCTGTAGTATGTCTACATTTTTTCTTAACCATCTCCTGTAGTATGTCTGCAGTCTCTGACCATCTCCTGTAGTATGTATGCAGTTTCTGACAATCTTCCCTATCATGTCTGCAGTCACTGACCATCTCCTGTAGTATGCCTGCAGTGCCTGTCTATCTCCTGTAGTATGCCTGCAGTCTCTGACCATCTCCTGTATGAAGTCTGCAGTCTCTGACCATCTTCCTTTTACCATGTCTGCTGTCTCTGACCATCTCCTGTAGCAGGTCCTCAGTCTCTGACCATATTCTGTAGTAGGTCCGCAGTCTCTAACCATCTCCTGTAGTAGGTCCGCAGTCTCTGACCATCTCCTGTAGTAGGTCCGCAGTCTCTAACCATCTTCTGTAGTAAGTCCTCAGTCTGACCATCTCCTGTAGTATGCCTGCAGTCCCTGACAATCTACTGTAGTATGCCTGCAGTCTCTGACCACCTCCTGTACTATGTCTGCAGTCTCCGACCATCTTCCCTATCATGTCTGCTTTCTCTGACCATCTCCCGTAGTAGGTCCACAGTCTTTGACCATCTCCTGTAGCAGGTCCTCAGTCTCTGACCATATTCTGTAGTAGGTCCGCAGTCTCTAACCATCTCCTGCAGTAGATCCACAGTCTCTGACCATCTTCTGTAGTAAGTCCTCAGTCTGACCATCTACTGTAGAAGGTCTTCAGTCTCTGACCATCTCCTGTAGTAGGTCCGCAGTCTCTGATCATCTCCTGTAGTAGGTCCTCAGTCTCTTCCCATCTCCTGTAGTAGGTCAGCAAGCTCTAACTATCTCCTGTAGTCGGTCTGCAGTCTCTGACCATCTCCTGTAATAGGTAAGCAGTCTCTGATCATCACCTGCAGTAGGTCCGCAGTCTCTGACCATCTCCTGTAGTAGAGCCTCAGTTTCTGACCATCTCCTGTAGTAGGTCCTCAGTCTCTGACCATCTCCTATAGTTGGGCCTCAGTCTCTAACCATCTCCTGTAGTAGGCCTCAATCTGTGACCATCTTCTGTAGTAGGTCCTCAGTCTGTGACCATCTTCTGTAGTAGGTCAGCAAGCTCTAACCATCTCCTGTAGTATGCCTGCAGTCTCTGACCATCTTCTGTAGTATGTCTGCAGTCTCTAACCATCTCCTGTAGTAGATCCGCAGTCTCTGACCATCTCCTGTAGTAGCTCCTTAGTTTTTGACCATCTCCTGTAGTAGATAAGCAGTCTCTGACCATCTCCTGTAGTAGGTAAGAAGTCTCTGATCATCTCCTCTAGTAGGTAAGAAGTCTCTGATCATCTCCTGTAGTATATATGCAGTTTCTGACCATCTCCTGTAGTATGCCTGCAGTCTCTGACCATCTCTTGTAGTATGTCTGCAGTCTCTGAAAATCTTCCCTATCATGTATGCAGTCTCTGACCATCTCCTGTAGTATGCCTGCAGTCCCTGACTATCTCCTGTAGTATGCCTGCAGTCTCTGACTATCTCCTGTAGTATGCCTGCAGTCACTGACCATCTCCTGTAGTATGCCTGCAGTCACTGACCATCTCCTGTAGTATGTCTGCAATCTCTGACCATCATCCCTATCATATCTGCAGTCTCTGACCATCTCCTATAGTATTCCTGCAGTCCCTGACCATCTCCTGTAGTAGGTCTTCAGTCTCTGACCATCATCCATATCATGTCTGCAGTCTCTGACCATCTTCCCTATCATGTCTGCAGTCTCTGACCATCTCCTGTAGCAGGTCTGCAGTCTCAAACCATCTTCTGTAGTAAGTCCTCAGTCTAACCATCTCCTGTAGTAGCTCCTTAATTTTTGACCATCTCCTGTAGTAGGTAAGCAGTCTCTGACCATCTCCTGTAGTAGATAAGAAGTCTCTTATCATCTCCTGTAGTAGTAGATAAGCAGTCTCTGATCAGCTCCTGTAGTAGGTAAGCTGTCTCTGATCATCTCCTGTAGTATGTCTGCAGTTTCTGACCATCTCCTGTAGTATGGCTGCAGCCTCTGACCATCTCCTGTAGTATGCCTGAAGTCTCTGACAATCTTCCCTATCATGTCTGCAGTCTCTGACCATCTCCCTTAGCAGGTTGGCACTCTCTGACCATCTCCTGTAGTAGGGCCGCAGTCTCTTACCATCTCTTAAAGTAGGTCTGCAGTCTCTGACCATCTCCTATTAGTAGGTCCGCAATCTCTGACCATCTCCTGTAGTATGTCCGCAGTGTCTGACCAACTCCTGTAATAGGTCCGCAGTCTCTGACCATCTCCTATAGTAGGTCCGCCGTCTCTTACCATCTCCTGTAGTAGGTCTGCAGTCTCTGACCATCTCCTGTAGTAGGTCCGCAGTCTCTGACCATCTCCTGTAGTAGGTTCGCAGTCTCTGACCATCTCCTGTAGTAGGTCTGCAGTCTCTGACCATCTCCTGTAGTAGGTTCACAGTCTCTGACCATTTCTTTAGTAGTATGCCTGCAGTCTCTGACCATCTCCTGTAGTATGCCTGCAGTCTCTGACCATCTCCTGTAGTATGTCTGCAGTCTCTAACCATCTCCTGTAGTAGATCTGCAGTCTCTGACCATCTCCCTATTATGTCTGCAATCTCTGACCATCTTCCCTATTATGTCTGCAGTCTCTGACCATCTCCTGTAGTAGGTCTGCAGTCTCTGACCTCAGTACCACTTCTCCTGTCCTGGATGCTGGGTGTAATTCTCGGTATCTTTTCTTATTCTGTATGTATGGACTCTGCACAGTCCAGGCTTTGACATCTGTCCCTAACTGCAGGTAACTGCTTTGTGTGTGACTACAAGGGAACAGTGGCAACCACTGTCAGTCTGTCATTTGTTTAAATGGGCTAAGCAACTGCTGCTATTTGCATGCCCTTTCATTCCAGTAGCATGAAGCCACTGGTTCTAGCCATTGGAATGCAGTGGCTGCATGTAAACAGCTGCCTGAAGGAGGCTTTAGTTTGAATTGCTTATGCATAGCCTACTCAAATGTGGCGGCCTTTAAAATGCTCAGATAAGGTTGCACAGTAAGGATGGCTTGGCTATTATCATGTCTTAGGCTGTGTTCACACACATACTGCAGTGACTTGATTTTACTGCATTGAAGGAACACAGGTCACTGCTAGAACACACAGAAAACAATTGTGTTTTGTGTGTCCTGTTCACACTGCAACACAGCCTGGAGGTATGGTGCAGTGAGCTGTGCTGCATTTTATCGCAGTGCACAGGATGGTGCCGCATGTCACCACACAGCAGCGCAAAGCACCCTGTTCCTGTGCTGTGACATGAATGAAGACTGACTTTGTCATATTTTATTTAATTTAAACATTTTTTACCTGGTACCTGCTACTGAACTCCACCCAGGACAAAAAATTGTCTATGGCACTGGACGTAGATAAGGGGAGGGGCAGGGGGGTTCAGAGCAGAGCACCCTGCTAAAAATCAACTTAATGGTGTCCCTGCTGTGCTGCTTGTCACTGGTGCCATGTGTGGCTGGCAGCAGAGCTGAGACCCCATGCAGTTGATTCCTGGACTGGCCTTGCCGCCTCAGTGGTGTGGAGCTGTCAACGGCATGTGTACAGGGCAGGCACTCACCCTGTTTACACCACGGCGACACCGCACCCACTAGACGGGCCTTGCTGTAAAGCCCAGCTTGGGCAGTCTGAGGGAGGCCGACTGTGACACGAGGCAGCAGCACAAAGCGGAGCGGGAATGGCCATCATTTGTCCCACCCACCTTTCTATTGCTAAGGATGCAGTTCCTCTGCTTAGGGGAGTAGCTTTGGGGAAGGGCTCAAGAGTGCAGGACATTTGCTGTGTATCTGCTGGACCGGTGGGCCGGCCATGTGGATGAAGTGGTGGTTGCTGCTCTCCTTTCCAGTCCAGGCATGTCCCTCTTTCTCTTGTGTTCTCCTCAGGCTAGCTTACTACTGATGTGCTGCTGGTGAATTTCTTCTATTCCTTCATGCTAGATAATTAGAGCTTGAGAGATTGTGTGGCTGTGGAAACTGGCAAAGTTGATGATTGAGTCTCCATTGCTGTTGGGTTAGGCCCTGGTCACATCTAACGGTTTGTGGGCCAGAATCGCTGTGATATGTTTGTAGTAGGTCCTCAGTCTATGACAATATCTTGTAGTAGGTAAGCAGTCTCTGACCATCTCTTGTAGTATGCCTTCCGTCTCTGACCATCTCCCGTAGCAGGTCCTCTGTCTCTGACCATATCCCGTAGTAGGTCCATAGTCTCTGACCATCTCCAGTAGTAGGTCCTCAGTCTCTGCCCATCTCCTGTAGTAGCTCCTCCATCTCTGACTATCTCCTGTAGTAGGTAAGCAGTCTCTGATCATTTCCCGTAGTATGCCTGCAGTCTCTGACCATCTCCCATAGTATGACTGGAGTCTCTGACCATCACCTGTAGTATGGAGGGATGAGTCTCTGATCATCATCCCTATCATGTCTGCAGTCTCTGATCATCATCCCTATCATGTCTGTAGTCTCTGACTATCTCCCCTCATATCTGTAGTCTCTGACCATCTTCCCTATCATGTCTGCAGTCTCTGACCATCTTTCCTAGCAGGTCCTCAGTCTCTGACCATATCCCATAGCAGGTCCACAGTCTCTGACCATCTCTTGTAGTAGGCCCGCAGTCTCTAACCATCTCTTGTAGTAGGTTCTCAGTCTCTGACCATCTCCTGTAATAGGTAAGCAGTCTCTGACCATCTCCTGTAGTAGGTTCCGCAATCTGAGACCATCTCTTGTAGTAGGTCGGCGGTCTCTGACCTCCTGTAGTAGGTCCACAGTCCCTTACCATCTCCTGTAGTAGGTTCTCAGTCTCTGACCATATCCTGTAGTAGGTCCGCGGTCTCTGACCATCATCCCTATCATGTCTGCAGTCTCTGGCTATCTCCCGTAGCAGGTTCTCAGTCTCTGATCATATCTGTAGCAGGTCCACAGTCTCTGACCATCTCCTGTAATAGGTTCTCAGTCTCTGACCATCTCCTGTAGTATGCCTGCAGTCTCTGACCATCATCCCTATCATGTCTGCAGACTCTGATCATCATCCATATAATGTATGCAGTCTCTGATCATCATCCCTATCATGTCTGCAGTCTCTGACCATCCCCCGTAGCAGGTCCGCAATCTCTGACCATCTTCCCTGTCATGTCTGCAGTCTCTTACCATCTCCTTATCATGTCTGCAGTCTCTGACCATCTTCCTTATCATGTCTGCAGTCTCTGACCATCTCCTGTAGTATGCCTTCCGTGTCTGACCATCTCCCCGTAGTAAGTCCACAGTCTCTGCCCATCTCCTGTAGTAGGTCCTCAGTCTCTGCCATCTCCTGTAGTAGGGCCTCAGTCTCTGACCATCCCCTGTAGTAGGGCCTCAGTCTCTGACCATCTCCTGTAGTAGGTCCGCAGTCTCTGACCTTTTCCTGTAGTAGGTCTGCAGTATTTGACCATCTCCTGTAGTAGGTCCGCAGTCTCTGACCATCTCCCGTAATAGGTCCGCAATCTCTGACCATCTCCTGTAGTAGGTCTGCAGTCTCTGACCATCTCCTGAAATAGGTTCTCAGTCTCTGACCATCTCCTGTAGTATGCCTGCAGTCTCTGACCATCATCCCTATCATGTCTGCAGACTCTGATCATCATCCATGTATAATGTATGCAGTCTCTGATCATCATCCCTATCATGTCTGCAGTCTCTGACCATCTCCCGTAGCAGGTCCGCAATCTCTGACCATCTTCCCTGTCATGTCTGCAGTCTCTGACCATCTTCCTTATCATGTCTGCAGTCTCTGACCATCTTCCTTATCATGTCTGCAGTCTCTGACCATCTCCTGTAGTATGCCTTCCGTGTCTGACCATCTCCCGTAGTAAGTCCACAGTCTCTGACCATCCCCTGTAGTAGGGCCTCAGTCTCTGACCATCTCCTGTAGTAGGTCCGCAGTCTCTGACCTTTTCCCGTAGTAGGTCTGCAGTATTTGACCATCTCCTGTAGTAGGTCCGCAGTCTCTGACCATCTCCCGTAATAGGTCCGCAATCTCTGACCATCTCCTGTAGTAGTCTCTGACAATCTTCCTTATCATGTCTGCAGTCTCTGACAATCTTCCCTATCATATCTGCAGTCTCTGACAAACTTCCCCCATCATGTCTGCCGTCTCTGGCCATTTCCCTTTGCAGGTCGGCAGTCTCTGATCATCTCCTGTAGTAGGTCCGTAATCTCTGACCATCTCCTGTAGTATGTCCGCAGTCTCTGACCATCTCCTGTAGTAGGTAAGCAGTCTCTGATCATCTCCTGTAGTATTTCTGCTGTCTCTGACCATCTCCTGTAGTATGTCTGCAGTCTCTGACAAACTTCCCCCATCATGTCTGCAGTCTCTGACCATCTCCCTTAGCACGTCGGCAGTCTCTGACCATCTCCCTTAGCAGGTCGGCAATCTCTGATCATCTCCTGTAGTAGGTCCGCAGTCTCTGAGCATCTCCTGTAGTAGGTCCGCATTCTCTGACCATCTCCTGTAGTAGGTCCGCAGTCTCTGACCATCTCCTGTAGTAAGTTTGCAGTCTCTGACCATCTCCTGTAGTAAGTTCACAGTCTCTCACCATCTCCTCTAGTAGGTCTGAAGTCTCTGACCATCTCCTGTAGTATGTCTGCAGTCTCTGACCATCTCCTGACCACAGTACCACTTCTCCTGTCCTTGATGCTGGGTGTAATTCTTGGTATCTGTTCTTATTCTGTATGTATGATCTCTACACAGTCACACTTCTCTCAGGGCTCATGCACATAGCCACAAAAATTCAGCTTTTTATGAGCTGTGTCCAGGCTTGGACATCTTTCTCTAACTGCAGCTATCTGCTTTGTGTGTGACTACATGCGAACAGTATCAACCAATGTCAGCCTGTCATTTGCTTAAATGGGCTAAGCAACTGCTGCTATTCCCATGCCCAGTCATTCCAGTCGCACAAAGCCACTGGTTCTAGCCATTGGAATTCAGTGGCTGCATGTAAACAGCTGGGTGAAGGAGGCTTTAGTTTGAATGGCTTATAAATAGCCTACCCCAATGTGGTGGCCTTTGTAATGCTCGGATAACGTTGCACAGTAAGGATGTCTTGGCTATTATCATGTCTTAAGCTATGTTCACACGTACTGCAGTGACTTGATTTTACTGCATGGAATGAACACAGGTCACTGCTAGGACACACAGAAACCAATTGTGTTCTGTGTGTTCTGTTCACACTGCAACACAGCCCGAAGGTACAGTGCTGCACTTTGTCGTAGTGCACAGGATGGTGCCGGATGTCACCCCACAGCATCGCAAAGCACCTGTTGCTGTGCTGTGACATGAATGAAGACTGGCTTTGTCATATTTTATTTTATTAAAACATTTTTTACCTGGTACCTGCTACTTAATTCCCCCAGAATAAATAATTATCTACGGCCCTGTATTTAGCAGATCTCAGTTTGTTATCACAAGGTTTTGAACTATAAAAAAAGAAAAGAAAAATATGTTTTTGTTTTCTTTCTTCATTTGTTGCCACAAAAGCTTGTGGCAAAAAACGAGATCTGCAAAATACTCACCATGCTTCTTATAAAATTCCTTGGGTTGTCTACTCTCCAAAAAACGGGTCATTTGGGGGAGATTGATGCTATCCTGACATTTCAGGGCCAACAAAACTGTGATAGGTAGTGAGGAAGTGTAATGAGGAAATAAAGCCCTTTAAAAGCCTGACGGTGCTTCTTGGATTTTGGGGTCCTGCACGTGGCTAGACTGCCAAAAACGTTTCTTACATGTGGTATTCCCATATATTCGGGAGAAGTAGCAGAATGTATTTTGGGGAGTAATTCTACATATACCCATGGCATGTGTGAGCAAATCATTTAAGTGACAATATTGTTTTCAATTGGGTTTATTTTGTAATTTTCCAAAAACCTGTGGTAAAAAAATAAATTCTACTATTGATTCAACATGCCTCTCAGCAAATAGTTTGGGGTGTCTACCCCAAAAAAAGGGTTTTTTTTTTTGGGGGGGGGGCATTTTATGCCCAGCATTAGAAGTTTATGCCACACATCACTCACTCTTCTAACCACCTGAACACCAAGCCTTTTCTGACACTTTTTGTTCCCATGAAAAAAAATCAGTATTTTTTGCTAGGAAATTACTTTGAACCCCCAAACATTATATATATTTTTTAAAGCAGACACCTAGTGAATAAAATGGTGGATGCTGCATTTTTTTATGTCACATAGTACTCGCGCAAATTTTTCAAACGCAAAGTTTTTTTTAAAAATACACTTTTTTTACTTTTAATGCACAAAAACACAATAAATTTCCAATTATTTGGTAAAATATAAAAGATGATGGTATGCTGAGTAAATGGATAAAAAACATGACATGCTTTAAAACTGTGCATGCCCCGTGTAATGGCGACAAACTGCATACATTTTTAATATCCATAGGCAACACTTTAAAAGCCTAACATTTGAGATTTACAGAGGTCTAGTGTTAGAATTATATTATTTATTGTTCATTCACTCACTTTGGTAGGAGGTTAAGTGTCAGCAGCTTTAACGATAGGGCCCCATTTCTAGCGCAGGAGGTTCGTTCTTTTAGTATTATAGTGTTAGAATTACTGCCCTTGATCCGACGTTCGCGGCGCAACCGCTATTTACATACTGGCACAGGGTCAACGCTCAAGCACGCAGGTGCGCGCACATAGGGGGGGGGGTTTAAGTTATTTTGATTTTATAAATTATTTTTTACACTGTCCCTTTCATATTTTTTTTTTTTTGATCACTTTTAATGCTATGCAAATGCAAATATCCCCTATAACTTCAATGGGCATTGTCATATATTCTTTTTTGAGAAATCTGGGGTCTATCAGACTCTAGATTTCTCCCCTGCCCTTACATTATCTAATCTCACCAAGATCGGTGTGATCAGATGCTTTCCCAATTTACAAATGGCGCTGTTTATAGCCTGCGAAACTGAAGTGATGAAATGCTCGTAGCTTCCGATTTCTTAGACTATAGAGATGATTGGCACCATTCTTGTCTCCAATCAGCTCTATGGTCATCTGGCAGAAACACCAGCTGCATTCTCAGGTTCCCCCGATGGCACTGGACTGCCCGAGAAGGCCGTGGAAGGCAGCAGGGGAGGGAGGGTCATCTTCTCCTGCTGCTTGTAAAAGCAATCCTGCAGCTAATTAGCCACTAAGATGTACCAGTACGTCGCTGATCCTTGTTGGGTATATATGCTATGTTCTTTTTTTTTTTTTTTTTTTGTATGCAGCCTGTGGGCTGAATGAAAAAAAGAGAAGAAATCTCTGCCAGAAAACTGTGTGGTATGCCCACCATTAGAATATACCGCCTTGCATCCACCCTCTTCTAATGGTGGGCACACATTAGGTCGCACGGTGCCACATGTGCCAATTCCAAAATTGTACAAATGTCTAAATAGTTGCACGCTTGAATAAAAATTGTCCACATATAAGTGGTACCCCATATGGAAAAAAGGATGACACCAAGTTCCAAACTATCCTGCCACTGCTCCCCATATATTCTGGGCATCTGGGGGGCTCCACGTGACTATCTTTTCCCTCGTAAATCCGAAACTTATATGTATAGTCTGTTGCCCTCTCACAGTTCTTATAGATCTTGACCTGATATCTGGCACGTTTGCTGGGGAGAAATTGTTTGAATGCAAGGCGACCAGAAAAATTAATGAAGGACTCATCAACACAGATTTTTTTTTGCTGAGGAGTATAGACATCTGCAAATTTTTGGGTAAGGTGATTTACAAGGGGCCAAATTTTGTGGAGCCGGTCAAATGCCCATTGAATATCCCCTATAACTTCAATGGGCATTGTCATATATTCTTTTTTGAGAAATCTGGGGTCTATCAGACTCTAGATTTCTCCCCTGCCCTTACATTATCTAATCTCACCAAGATCGGTGTGATCAGATGCTTTCCCAATTTACAAATGGCGCTGTTTATAGCCTGCGAAACTGAAGTGATGAAATGCTCGTAGCTTCCGATTTCTTAGACTATAGAGATGATTGGCACCATTCTTGTCTCCAATCAGCTCTATGGTCATCTGGCAGAAACACCAGCTGCATTCTCAGGTTCCCCCGATGGCACTGGACTGCCCGAGAAGGCCGTGGAAGGCAGCAGGGGAGGGAGGGTCATCTTCTCCTGCTGCTTGTAAAAGCAATCCTGCAGCTAATTAGCCACTAAGATGTACCAGTACGTCGCTGATCCTTGTTGGGTATATATGCTATGTTCTTTTTTTTTTTTTTTTTTTTGTATGCAGCCTGTGGGCTGAATGAAAAAAAGAGAAGAAATCTCTGCCAAAAAACTGTGTGGTATGCCCACCATTAGAATATACCGCCTTGCATCCACCCTCTTCTAATGGTGGGCACACATTAGGTCGCACGGTGCCACATGTGCCAATTCCAAAATTGTACAAATGTCTAAATAGTTGCACGCTTGAATAAAAATTGTCCACATATAAGTGGTACCCCATATGGAAAAAGGATGACACCAAGTTCCAAACTATCCTGCCACTGCTCCCCATATATTCTGGGCATCTGGGGGGCTCCACGTGACTATCTTTTCCCTCGTAAATCCGAAACTTATATGTATAGTCTGTTGCCCTCTCACAGTTCTTATAGATCTTGACCTGATATCTGGCACGTTTGCTGGGGAGAAATTGTTTGAATGCAAGGCGACCAGAAAAATTAATGAAGGACTCATCAACACAGATTTTTTTTTGCTGAGGAGTATAGACATCTGCAAATTTTTGGGTAAGGTGATTTACAAGGGGCCAAATTTTGTGGAGCCGGTCAAATTCAGGGTCACCCCAAGGACGACAGAGTATATTGTCGTTGAAATGCATAAAACACATTATACTCTCATATCTATGCCTGGCCATGGCAGCAGAGAACACGGGCGTATGATGAATCGTATCTGTGGACCAATACAAACGCAATTCATTTTTTGTAGTAATGCTCATGTTGAGGGTTAGGCCCAAAAAAAATTAAAATTTGGAAACTGTAATGGGTCTGGCGAATGGTCTGGCAAGGTTTGAATCTGGGTTGGCGGCAATAAATTGTTGTGCATATAAATTGCTTTGATCCACAATCCAGGCATACAGATCTTCTGTGAAAAACAGCTCCAAAAAATCAAGGGGAGTATTTAAATTTTGCGGTTTCCACCTGAATTCCAGGTTGGGCAGTAAATGCGGGAAGTACAGGTGCTGATTCTGCAAACACTGCATTTTTTTGTGCAATGTATCATGTGACAGTGACCTACTGACACTGCACTTGCTGGGGGAGAAGGGGGGGAGGGTAAGTAT